TTGCATCCTGAATACCTCTTGTGTGGGACAACCCACAACCTCCTTAGCTAATTGGTTCCATTGTCACACTGTTCCAACACTCAAGAAGTTTTTCCTGATGATCAGCCAGAATCTGGCTTCTTGTGACTTAAGTCCATCGTTCTGTGTCCTGCACTCTGTGATGGAGATCCCAGCCATCCTTTCTGTGACAACCTCTCGAACACTTGTACAGTGCTATTGTACCTCCTCTCAGTTAAACATGCCCAATTCTTTCAACTCACAGGGCTTTGTTTCCAGTTCCCTGATTATCTTTCGGTCCTTTTCCAATTTGACTGCATCTTTCTTAAACTGTGGTGCCCAGAACCAGGTGCAGCATTTGAATGAGCAATAAGCAGTGCTGAATTATCATTTGGAAGTGATACTTCTATTAAGGAAGCCCAAAATAGTGTTTGTTTATTTGATTTATAAAACCACACCCCAGAGTCCCAAATAGGACCTTTTTGCAGCTGCATCACATTGTTGACTCAAAAGTCAGCTTGTGATCTACAACAATTCTGGGATCTTCTCAGCAGTAGCATTGTTGAGCTGAGTATCTGCCATCTTGTAACTGCATTTGGATTCATTTTCCTAGGTCTAGAGCTTTGCATTTATCCCTGTTAAATCTCATTCTGTTGTGTTCAGCCCAGTACGCTCAACCTGTCAAGATCACTTTGAATTTTACCTCTGTCTTCCAGGGTTTGCTGGGAGTGAGAAAGAAGGCTACTTTGGGCACTCATTTGCAAGGACTGCTGGTGGACTTTGGAGGAATCAGAATCAGAATGTGAAGTGGAACTGCTCCAGGATTTTCCCAGGGATTGACATCAAACTGACTGGTCTGCTGTTCTCAGGTTCTTCTGCTTCTTTTTCTTGAAGGTAGAGGCAACATTAGCCCTTCTCCAGTCATCTGGCACTTTTCCTATCCTTCATGATTTCTCAAAGATAACAGACAGTGGTTCTGAGAGTTCTTCCACCAGCAACTTTATGACTCTAGGATGGAGTTCATCGGGCCCTGAACATCTGAACTCATTCAGCCCAAAGATGATCCTTGACCATTTACCTATCGATGTTCAGCTCCCATCCTGCTCCTTCAGCTTGTACTTCCCCTTCATCAGGAAGGCCACAGCTATTCTTTTTGGAGAAGATCAAGCCAAAGTAGGAATTGAGCACTTCTGACTTTTCTTGTCAACTGTTATGATTTTGCCATCCACATTGTATAGCTGAACCCCCATTTCTTTCTTTTTTTACAATGCACTTATCGGAAGAAGGCTTTTCTGTTGCTTTTAGCTTCCATCACTAACCTCAGCTCATTCTCAGCTTTAGTCTTCCTGATGCCTTTCTTTTTAAGAGGTGCAGTAGTTACCCATTATCTCCTTCGCTTCTCTGTTCCTTACAAGGTTCTGTTCAAACCACATCTTCCTGCCAATCTAGGATTCACAGCAACCCCTGACCTATGCTCCTTGAATCTCCAGCGGCATTTACAGAATGAAAAGCCAATTTATCTTGATTCAAGCCTGACCCTTTGAAGCAAGAATGGCTTGGCAGCCTGCCAGGTTCAGAAGGCTAAAAATAACCTTTTGTATTAATCACAAAACAGAAATAGATTCCCTTTTGGCTCCACGTGGATGTAAAATGCTATTGATCACAGGTACTGGGTGAGCCTCTAGAGCAGGTGTCTACAACCATGCAGCCCCAAAAGAAGCCCCTGGGCCATGCCAAGGTGGTGGCAGCACTGGCTCACCTGTGCTATTTTAGATTAATTCTCAGAGATTATCATCCACTTTATCTGCATAAACTCACGTCAGGCTTAGGGAAGTGTACAAGGTTTTAGCTTCTTTGGGGCACCTGCAGCAGGGACCTTAAGGCATTACATAGGCCAACTGCCTCTCCTTGATCTGATCCTCCTGCTTGTACCTGCAGTGACATCATCTGCAAGCAGCCAAAACGCACCTTTATTTTGCCCAAGCTACTTCAGGGAAATATCTTTTTTCCCTGAGCTTGTATGGGTAGTTCACCACAGCTGCAGCTATGCCACAAACCTCAACTTATGTCAGTGCTATAGCGTAAAGCAAGAAACTTGCCAAGGGTTCCCCCCTCCCATTTTGTAAATCCGGAGCCCCTTCACAGAACTACAATCCCCAACAGTCTGCAGAAGAAACTGAGAACATTTGAGTCAAACTGGCCTTGGGTGTGTACCTCTTCTAGAGTCCTTTGTGTTCCTGATCTAATGCACTCCTAATCCTGGTCTTTTGTTCTTATTTCATCTGGCCAAACAGTGTATTATTCATGTTGGTAACAAGTTAAAACTAAGGAAACAAAAGACAGCAAGCTGAAATACTTTCACTGATAAAATAAGGTCTTGAAGTTTCTCTGCCGAAAACAAAGAGCACCCACATCGGATTATGCATGCAGAATAATACAAATGAGTTATTCATTGCAAAATATCTGCTTGTTATATTTTATTTATCTTTTGTGGTAAAAAGTCATAAAGGATAGAGCAGATTGAAAGGTGGCCAGGAGGTAGGGCTCTGTGCATGCGTGTGCGCGTGTGTGTGTGAGAGAGAGAGAGAGAAAGCGAGAGAGAAAGCGAGAGAGAAGCAAAAATGTTATCAAAAGGAAAATGGGCAGGTCATTGAAAAGTGCAGTGACCTTAATTTAAAAACCAGAAAATATATGATGAGAGCAATAAACAGTGCAATCCTATGCATATATAATCAGAAGCAAGTCCCACCAAGTTCAATGGGTCCTGGGAAAGGAGGTATAATATCGCAGCCTAAATGTTCAGAAAACATGAGGAAAGGAACCCTCTCTCCATCCAGGCACTCTGAGGCCCACCTCAGCATGCAAGTGCAAAGAAGCTTGTTTGAACTACTCCTCAAATAAAGTTCCCAAGTATGTGCAAGGTAAATGCATAATGACAAAAATTTCCAATCTTTCCCCTGACATGTAAAGCTTTCCACATAGCTTAAGGAGGTGCTTTCCACCAACATGCATGCTAAGCTGACCAATCTTGGCCTATGGGAGCCACACCATGTTCTCTTTCCAGACATTTCAATCAGCTGTTATTGGCCAGGACACGGGCTCCACGGAGGGTCAAAGATGGCCACCCAAACAGGACATTGCTGGAGAACAAACTCATTAGCAGGCTAGATTCTGAAAGAATATTATAACAGAGGCAGGAAAGATGTTGGTTCTTGCTCATGAGGGGATTCACATCCATTTGTGCATACAAAGCTAGACCAGTTGAAAACTCTTGGAAGGAAATCAGGCTAGCAGGTTGACAATTGTGGGCTTGGAGGGTATCCTGGGCTGATCAATGCACTGCTGATAATATTCTTCTCAGATACAACCATTCTGTTTCTAAGCTCAAACTTGGTCCTCCATACAATCAGCTTTCTCTTGATGCATACCATTCAAGTAGGTCACTTCTTTGCAGTCCACCTGCCTCACCTACAGGCCCTACAGGCAGCTGGACAATGAGCAGAATCAAGAACAAATGCCTCTGCACAGCAGGTAGTAAAGCTGCCCAGGAAAAGACGAGATTTCTGACTCTGCAGGGAAGCAGGATTTCCCAGTAGCCTCATGATGCAATCTTTGGTCCATAGATCTCAATAAGAGGCTGTTAACGTGACAGGGCTCAGGTGCCCCGAAAGGCCACTCAACCCAAGGCTGTCTGCTGTGACTGCTGCTAATCTGTGCAGGCTGGACCAGCATAATGGATGGGCCCGGGCTTCAGCAAAAGTTATTGGCCCATCAAGGCAGCAAAATGCCTTCTGCCCCGCTGGCCACCAGGCTTCCTCCCTTCCTCTGTCCTGCCTTCTGAATGCTGCTGCATGAAGTGCCACGACCTTTACAGCAGCAGCCCACGTGTTGCCCTTTGGCAAGCAGGAGACGGATGGCTGCTGGACGAACCCCTGAGCTAATCGCGAAGCCTCCCGGCCATGGAGGCAGGAGCCGTGTTTGTACCTGAAGATGGAATCAGGGGCTTCCTGTGGCTGCCTGTGGACATGGTTGTCACAAGGTGGTCTAGTTTCCTCAGGACCCAGCTAGATGGGGCAGCAGCAGCAATCTCTGTTTAAGCCAGAATCAACCAAAACTGCTTAGAATGTGGGCTGGTTTGAAGCAGTCCAGCTTAAGGAGCAGAAGGGATGTGCAGGTCAGGGGAACCCTTTTCGCAGTTGCTCCCCTATTAGACACTCTCTGCTGACTCTTATCTCCTGGTTGGGGGCCTGAGATGGGAAGTAAGCCCACCTGGAAAAGAAATGTCAGGGCTATAGACTCCAAAGAGATGACATGAAGAAACAGGGAGGATCCCAGGCCTCTCATACATGTACCTCTTCTGCACCTTAAAACTGGATTACTCCACCTACTGCTTTCTACACTGTTGCTGCAGATTTAAACACAATGATGTGCTGATGTCACATCTGGTTTGGCTTTTAAACAGTGCACATTATGAAACAATTCTTGAAGCTCAGTGGGGTGTGTATGTGTGTGTACTCCCTATTTGATTTCCCCCCATTTCAGACAAAAGGACTGAATGCTCTCAGCTCAAGACACCTTGCCCATGTAGACCGTGAGTGGCCAACTGAGACAGGAGCGGACAATGCATGGGACAGGCTATGCAGCACCGGCATGCCCAGCTTCTGCCTGCCTGCCTTTCCAGAGCTGCACCACTGCTTGGCCCCTGGCCAAGACACAGGGGGTGCAGCTCTGCCCCTTCCAACTCTACTATTCTCAGATTCTCTGAGATACAGTGCCCTGGCACAGCAGTGGACCCGAGGGTAGAACTATCTCATACACTGGACTTCACATGCAGCATGCTTTCCCAAAAGGCTGGCCACAACACCTGTCACCAAAAAGAAGTCATTTATTTGCCGGATAATAATAATTATTATTCACATATCTGTATCACCCTGCAGCTCAAGTTCTCTGGGTAGACAGTGGAAGTCTGCAGGGTACTTGCCACTCACCACAGCAAGACATACCTGAGAGACGGGAAGAGCTTGCCCTGCTAAAAGCAAGTGGGGCCTGGAAAGCGTAGATGCTGATGTCATCCGCAATGGTGTTCAGATCCATGTCATCTGAGAAGGAGCACTGGAAACCTGCCTGGCCCAGCTCAGCCAGTATCACCTGCAACAGAACACAAGAGTCAGGCTTACCAGCCCTGAAGGCCTGGAGATGGAGAAGAGGTTGCTGTCCGTCACAAAGTTGTGCCCGACCCATCACGGCCCCATGGACAACATTCCTCCAGGTGGAGGAGAGGTACCTGAGGCTTATTTATCTGTGTGGTCTGCTCCCGTTCCTCGGTCACACTGAGGCCAAAGTCACGGGAGGGAAGTGAGACTGGCTTACCTGGTCGGGTGAAATGTTGCCTTCCTCTGCCACCATTTCCCTCAGTTTTGCCACAGTGCTGAAGAGAGGCACAGCCAGGCCCACACGCACAAAGCGCTGGCTTTTGGACTGGAAGACGAGAGTGACATTCAAAGGCCTAGAAGAAAAGTGGATTGTACAGGTGCTTAGAAGAGTGGAGTAAAATGCCCCAGATTCAAGAGCCAACCCATGCCCTATCCCCATATTGGCAATGAATGGTAGTTAATCATAACAGTGCTCCATCTTACCATTCCTTGTATCATTTTGTATTTTATATGGAATTTGGTTTAATAATATGTATTTAATGTGATTTGTATTGTTATTATAGTTGGAATTCCTCTTCATAGTGCGCCAGAATGTGATTTTTAATGTTTATTTTTGAACTACTAAGATATATTGTTAAATTAAGCTGCAAATAAGGGCTACACACAAACAATGTTTGCAAACATTCAATTGTTTGCTTTCTGTCAGTTGCACCATTTGACGTGGGTTTGTGCATATGGGCCCACGGGCACAAAAATAAATTAGTTTGGGTCCAGTTTTTTTTTTTTTTTTAATTTATTGAGCATGAAGGCTTTGCAGGTCAATCACTGGGGAACTGTAAGTGTGTGACCCACGGGGACACAGAGCCAGAGCCAGAGCCAAACAGATTGGAACCCACCGTAAATCCCAGCTGCCTTGTCTACTTGAAGCTTTACTTATTTTCAAAGCATTAAGAAATAACAGACTGCAAGTCTTTAGAGCAGTATCTGTAACCATGTCAAGTGCTTTTCAAAAAATGTGGCACATTCTTTGGATTCTGCAGGCACACATTCAATCCACATTCTTCACTTTCTTCTATAGTATACAGAATAACTACAGATTTCTAGACCCTCTGGAGAGGTCAATGGCAGATAACACCAAGTTAAAGGGAGAGATGTAATCATATTGTATGGGAAAGGGAGGAATGACAAGTTGAATCTGAGCCCTAGCTATTACAATTAGAGTCACGACAGTTTATTTGGTGGGAAAGAAATCCACAAACATTCAAAACAGTATTGAGCAGGGTTCTTCCATATTCCTCCAGTCTATGTGGCTTCAAGGCCAGCACAAGATGCTGTCACATATAAAACCAGTAGGAAAATGTGTGTGTGTGTGTGTGTGTGTTATGGATTTCTTTAAATCTTGTTAGAAAATGGTAACATCTTCTTTTGTGTTTTTTAAATTTTCCCTGCTTCTTATTACTGTTGTGTAGCTTTTGTTCTGAAACACAATAAAAAATAAATTTTAAAAATGCTGCCAGAAAGCCAAATGAACGAAAGTGATCAAGCTGTCAACAATGGGAGAGGTCAGAGGAAGCTGGTTCTTACGTGATGTCTGGCAGATGTGATGTAATTTGCCTCCTCCTAAGCATAGATTCAGGGACCATTCACAGGACTTCCATCCTTTGCTGACATAAGGAACAATTTCTCTAATTGCTTCTCTGTGGCGGCTTTCAGCAGGTCCCTAACTCCATGTTACTTTCAAGGCATCACTCAAAGCAATATTTTAGAATTAAAATGGTGCTCTAGGAGTCCCTGTCTGAGTCTGGACCACAATCACCACATACCATGAGGATATTTCAGCTTCTCCTCCTTCCCATTGGTGCTGAACATCTGCCCCCACAACAACAACAACAACAACAACAACGCAGCACTAGTAAAAACAAACAAACAAACCACTCCACTCCACTCCAATAGGAGCTTTACAATTATCTCTATTTGCCACATGGCAGAGGTAATTTTTATTTTATTTTCTGGCAGATGTCTTCAGGGTAGTTTGCAAACATGTTTTTAAAAACAACTTTCTTCCAAGATCACTGTGTCTGAGGAAAGGATTCAACCTCCCTCTTTGCATGGGTGCTATCATTCTTCCCTGGATTTGCCTACCCAACACACAATTTATTATTTTTTAATAGAAAATTGATGTCAATTTAAGTAACACATTTGAAGTATCATGAGATTAACCCTGAGCAAAGCAGCATTCAGACCACTGTACCAATCCGAGATGCAGCGTTAGAGCCAGTTAAGCTATAAGGTCTTGGTCTTGATTTTGAATGCTTGATCTTCGTGTTAGAAATTTTAAAAAGTGTTATGAACTGGCACTCAGTTACTTTACCAAGTCTGTTACAGCTAAGGTAGAAAGGAAAGGACCCCCAGCTGAGAGACAGAGATAGAGAACTGTACGCTTTAAGAAAGGTAAAAGAGGACCTCTTTCATATTCTAGGACAAACATGCTTTATGTTTTAAGAACTGCTTGTGAATATTCAGATGCATGTACATTTTACATAAATTTTACTACAGAGAGCTGGTGAATGGTAGCTTGGAACTTCACAGGAGCACTAAGAAACCCTATCCATAAAAAGCATGTCGAAGACATTTATTAAAGGGAAATTAAAAGAACTGTAGAGATTTTGTTCTTTTTCTTTTTTGTTCTCACTACACGACTCAGGTGACGGAGTCCCTGCATAATGCAGGCAGCCTCATTGTTGTCCAGGTAAAGCCCAAATAGATAAAGACAAGGATCTACAGGGAGTTTAAGGATTTAGAGACAGAAAATAGAGTACTGCATGGGACGTGGGGAGGCAGAGTGCTGGAAAAAACCTGTGCTCAAGCTGCTCTGGGTGTTTGGAACTAAAAATGAAATTGTGTTCCTATCAGATAATCATCTTGGAAATGTATGGATTTCAGAATAATAAGTTTATCAAGGAAAAGCAAAGAGTCTTGTGGCATCTTAAGACAAATAAGCTAATTTTGATCTATTTAGTGCTTTCCTTAGTGGCTTACCACTGAATAAACAGACACGTAGTGGGACAGCACCTCCAAGGTTGCCTCCACCTGCACAACTCTTTCTTTCTGAGTAATCCGGCTAGATAGGCAAGGCACTGATCTATTGTTCTGCCATTTAATAACCCCTGCCCTCAGCATGCAGATCCTAAGAGAACAATCCCTAGCATAACCTGATTGCAGCTCCCCACGTATCAGTCTCCATATTCATTCTCTACCTGCACCTCGCCTCTGCCAATATGACTACCATAGACGGACCCAATACATAGAGCTTGTTCCAGGCCTGTTAGATCCTAGCTCCAGTTATCTTTAATAATATTTGCCACCTTTGGGCCTTGATCCACTTCCTGTCCATGTTTGCTATTTTGAACCCTCAGTATGGTCAGAGCTTTACCTTTAGAAACTTTCAAGGAAAAGCTGGACATGCACACGGTAGGCATGTCATAAGCAGAGCCAGCTGGAGCCGTGGGTCAGACTACATGGCCCGGGAGACCCCTTCTGACTCATTCTGTTTCTGTGTTTCTAAACTCAGATTGCTAAAGGGCCCACATTCAAGGCCTAAGCTCAAACCTGCTTGTGGTGGCTGAAGCAAAGGGCATCCTAACAGAAGCAGCCCCTCTCCTTATAGTCTTTCCTCTGCTGTGTGTATCTAGCTATGATAATACCTGCAATAAGTTCTTAATAATGCTGGCCCTCAACCTTTATTTTTGGCCACTATCAAGCTCAGTTATGCCACTGTCACCAAGTCACTGTGCTCCAAGAGTAGCCCTTTTGCACACTCTTCCTTGGGTCCTCTGTACATCACTAGTGGTATTCCCCCACATATCTGTGTCTCTTGTACACTCTCTTGCTGTACATCCAAAGTAATGGTTCTTCAGTTATTTCAAATATGTGAAGCAAGAATTTTAGAATGGTCTACCTGTGCTCTGCAGCCAAAGATGGAGAAGCTCTATGCAGTCAATAAAAACTAGACCAGGAGCTGACTGTGGCTCAGATCATGAGCTTCTGGTTGCAAAATTTAGGCTTAAATTGAAGAAAGTAGGGAAAAGCACTAGGCCACTCAGGTATGACCTAAATCATATCCCTGATGAATATACAGTAGAGGTGACAGATAGATTTAAGGAATTAGATCTGATAGACAGAGTGCCTGAAGAACTATGGATGGAGGTTCGCAACATTGTACAAGAGGTAGGAACTAAAACCATCCCAAAGAAAAAGAAATGCAAGAAAGCAAAATGGCTGTCTGAGGAAGCTTTACAAATAGCTGAGGAAAGATGGGAAGCGAAAGGCAAGGGAGAAAAGGAAAGATACACCCAACTGAATGCAGAATTCCAGAGAATAGCTAGAAGAGATAAGAATGCCTTCTTCAATGAACAGTGCAAAGAAATAGAAGAAAACAATAGAATAGGGAGGACCAGAGATCTGACAGATTTTAGTGACAGATTTCATTTTCCTGGGCTCCAAGATCACCGCAGAAGGGGACTGCAGCCAAGAAATTAAAAGACGCTTGCTCCTGGGGAGGAAAGCTATGGCAAATCTAGACAGCATACTAAAAAGCAGAGACATCACCCTGCCAACAAAAGTGCGTATAGTCAAGGCCATGGTTTTCCCAGTTGCAATGTATGGCTGTGAAAGTTGGACTATGAGGAAGGCTGAGCGCCAAAGAATTAAGGCCTTTGAATTGCGGTGCTGGAGGAGACTTCTGCGAGTCCCTTGGACTGCAAGGCGATCAAACCGGTCAGTCCTAGAAAGATCAACCCTGACTGCTCTTTAGAAGGCCAGATACTGAATATGAAACTCAAATACTTTGGCCACCTAATGAGAAGGAACGACTCCCTGGAGAAGAGCCTAATGCTGGGAACAATAGATGGCAAAAGAAGGGGACGGCAGAGGATGAGGTGGCTGGATGGAGTCACTGAAGCAGTCGGTGTGAGCTTGAGTGGACTCCGGGGGATGGTGGAGGACAGGAAGGCCTGGAGGAGTGTTGTCCATGGGGTCGCAATGGGTCGGACACGACTTCGCGACTAACAACAACAACCTGCCTGTCTGCCTAAATATGTTTCATTTTTCTTTAAAAACAAAAGGTACTGGCATTAAGTAAAATGTCTGAGCCTCACCAGGATAAACATTGCTTTGGAAGGCCACTTGCATCCTGCCTCTTAAGAGCCGAGCCAGGATAAACAGGCCACATGAGTCCTCTAATTTGGTTCATTTTGCAGCAAAAGTCTGAATGGATGGCTGAGTTTGCATGTTCCCTTGGAAAGGCCAGAACAATCCCGTGCCCAGACTGAACCAGAGACAACTCTTACTTTAG